CCATAATGACTGCAATCCCCCATGTAGAGGGTCATCCGGACTGTTTTTCAGGAACAAGCCCAGGACATTTTGCAGAATCAGAGGGTGAACCAGCTGAAACCATGAGACCAGCTTGAAAGACCCTCCAGTGACCTCCTGCTGAACTTTCCTCATTACTTATATTCTCATTATAATACTAAAATCTCCAACCAGAGGCGGAGTTTCCCACCATTTTTGAATATGCGATGTATGTATAGCCAGTTTTCTAACTGTCGGTGCCCTGGCATGTCCCCACCTATACATTCAATGACAAAGCTCACCTTGATGTTTAGGCATGATTTCCCCCAACAAAATTGGATCAGATGCTTTGCTTGAGGAACACTGTTCTGGGAGCGATCCCCGGCATGTTCCTTGTTTATAAGCCTGCGATAAAGTTCCTTTTCATAAAATCATCATCTGTGTTGTCCTCTGGCTGGCTACTATTGAAAGTTTGGACCTGGTTCGGTCCGGTAACCCCACCACTTCCTGGCTAACAGATCTGGTAAGTGACCTGGCTGCAGAGTTCTTGTTGGTAAAATGGGGATAAGAAGACTCTGTGTGATAGGGTTAGTCTGAGGAATAGATGAGGTAAGAGATGCTCCTGGCACAGTGAAGGTAAAGTAACCTCTCTGTGTTAGTAGGATACTTCCTTCATCACAGTCCCCGGGAGGACTAAACAGATGACAAGCATGAAACATGTAGCAAATGCTCTCTAAATAATAGTTATTATAACAATAAAGGCATCACAGCACAAATGCAGTAGATTTTTCCAGGAAAGGGCTGGAGAAGGGCTTTGCAGAGCCCAAAGGATGTTTGTTCTTCCCTTGGTCATAAAACAGACCCCTGCCTGAGAATTTCCCCTGCTGGCCCCTCCGCTCCCCGCTCCATCCTCCCACCTGCCTGCCAGCCAGGAAATGACCCAGAGCCAGCCATTCCTTCCCTTTGGTCCCCAGGGCCCATGAAAGCCAGACCTAGACCATCACCCTCTCTCCTGCTGCTTGGCCCCTGCTTTGCCCCAGGTTTAGAAGGAGGCTGGGGGTCACTGAGGGCAACCACCCACCACTGACTTCATCTCCTCTGGGGCCTGTGGCTGGAGCTTCCGCCGCCCGGCCTGTCCCTGCTGCCCACCATGGGTCCCGGCAGCCCACTCACAGCTCCAGGATGAGCACCACGTCGGTGCGGTTCTCAAAGACGTCGTGCAGCGTGATGATGTTGGGATGCAGCACCTGCCGCAGGATGCTCACCTCCCGCTCGATGTCCTCCCGGCACACGCCCCGCCGGCTGGCCCGGCTCTGCCGCTTCTTGATGAACTTGGCTGCGTACTCCAGCCCGGTGCTCTTCTCCCGGCACTTCTTCACAATGGCAAACTGGCCGCTGTGGGGACACAGACTCACATGACTAGGGTATCACTGTGGCCTTCAGGACACTAATTCAGAGTCACTCTGCCAGCTCAGCACAAATCCTGCCACCAGCCAGCATCCCCACCTGGCCATCAACCAGTGGCTGAGACGGGACAGGTACTGGGCTTCCCTTCTGTTCATAGTAGATGACGACATGAAGATGTTAGACTGAGAGCTGACAGACTGACTGACAGTACTGACCACTAAGCCCTGCCGCAGATTTGATCAGAATGACAAAGCCTTGCCCTGGCCAGTGTGGCTTTGTGGATAGAGCATCGGTCCATCCACCAAAGGATCACGGGTACGATTCCCAGTCAAGGGCCCTTACCTGGGTTTCAGGTTTGATTCCCAGCCCCTGTCGGGGCATGTGCAGGAGGCAACCAATTGACGTGTCTCTCTCACATCGATGTTTCTCTTTCTGTCTCTCTCTCTCTACCCCTCCCTCCCTCCTTTCCACTCTCTCTAAAATCAATGGAGAAAATATTCTCGGGTAAGGATTAACCAAAATAAAAAATTACACAGTCTCGTCATTCACAAGCCTCAGCTGGAACCCAAGTCTAGTTTCACCAGGTGAAATCCCAATGCCCAGAGGCCTATACTATGTAATGGAAAAGTTAGAAAGGAAAAACAAAAAGACTAGCATACCCTGGCCAGGTGGCTCAATTGGTTGGAGCATCGTCCGATGTACCAAAAAGATTGCAGGTTCAATTCCCACCACCTAGGTTGTGGTTCAATCCCTGGTCAGGCCATGTAGGGAAGGCAACTGGTCGATGTTTCTTTTTCACATTGATATTTCTCACTCTCTTCCTTTCTTGCCCTCTAAAATCAGTAAAAACATATCCTTGGGAAGGATTTTTAAAAAGACCGGCATGGTCAAAATATTAATGGTAAGAATCATCCAGCTGAGTTGCCCGTATCTGGATACAAGCACAGATTCGTCCATTGGGAATTGTGAGGTGAGTGACAAACACCTACCCCTATATTCGCATTTTTGCCCCTTTGCTCCCAACCTCCTCTCCACAACTAAAATCTCGATTACCTGACATGAGCCAAGCAGCTGGACAATAGGGGGACCCAGCAAATATGAGGATGATGCACTTAATGTAAAGACCGGGCCAGAGGCTCTGCAGGCTGGGTTGGTGGGGAGCCTGGTGGGGGTGGAGGCAGTCTAACACTGTGAATAACTAGAGGTGGGAGCTCATCATGGTGAGAGGGCTGATGGGACCACAGAGTTGTAGAATGTTTAGAAACTGAGGCACAGAAGTCAAGTCACTCTCCTGAGGTCATCACAGGGTTAATGGCAAAGCCAGGCCCCAGCGATGGGCACCTAGCCCACTGTCCACAATGCCTCTAAGATATAGGAGTCAGGGCTGGGCCTGGACGCCTTCACTCTGTGGACCAAGACAGCAGCCATAACGTGGTGTCCACGCCAGAGCAGCAGGCGGTGCTGAGCCAGCTTCCCTGGGAAGGCCAGCAGCCTCTGCTTCACCATCTCAGTCCAGGCACCCAGTCCCTGGAGACTGCCCGGTGGCCACCCCTCCTAGGGGTCCTCCCACTCCCCTTCTACCATGGCCCCATGTTTTCTTGCCAGCGACAACACCCACTGCTTGAGACAGAGCTCAGAGAGTCTTAGGTTAAGCTTAATAAGGGGCCACCAGACTCCACACTTAGGATGTACTCTCTTAGTGGCTCTGGGGTAAGAGCTACACAATGAAACGCTCTGGAGATCTGCCTCAACCTCAGAAAACAGCACCACACCTAACCATTCCTTTACTAGAATAATACTCAGTGAGGCAACCTTCAAAATAAACCTAAGTGACACACACACACACAGAGGAGTCAAGTAGAGCCAGCAAGGAATAAATATGCCAACATGCTGTAGAGATGTCACCAGACACACATCCTCATTCACTCAACGCTGGCTGAGCATCTGCTCTGTGCCAGGCTCTATGCCAGGCAGTAAAGGGCAGGGACCAAAGGCCCAGACAACAGGTACAGAGGGAGCTCTGGGGAGGGAGAGGGCCCCGGGGGGCCGGGGTGGGCAGGGAAGGCTTGGTGGAGCCAAATTGATATTACATTGTCCACTAATGTTAAAGTTTCAGCTATTTATGCCTCAATATGCTCTCAGCTGTCGAAACACCCGGCTGACGCAGGTGGAGTGGAGCCAGTCCTCCCAAAGCCGGAGTGAACACATTCAGCAAGATCTCTAACACAGCTGGTGCCTTGGAACCACTTTGGGCCTTGGGGACATTGGGTCCTTTAGTGGGTGCCAGCAAACACTTGACGAAGCTCTCAGTCCAGGCGGCTGTGAGTCTCAGCGTGGATGCCACACTCTCTCCTCTCTCTCTGATACCTCAAGGGGCCTGGCATCAGCAGTCCTGGGGGCAGACAGCTCCCTCTTTCCAGCTGACTGATGAGAAACCAAAGCGTAAGGATTTTAAGCACTTCGTATACACTTACAGAACACAGAGGTGGAGGCACCAGGTTTTTATAAAGCGGAAATAACTATTTCAGGGAACCTTGACATAACTTCCCCTATTCTTACAAGGGAAACAAAGCATTTTTCTATATTGCATGCCTGAAAAAATTCCTCCAGCTCTCAAAAAGCAAATGAGTGTTTGCTTTCCCTGGTTGAGTTTTCTCTTTGTGCGAGCAGCTGTGGCAATAAGAGGTGCCTGGGGGTCAGGCCTAACGTGCAGGCATCTTCCTCCCGCCAAAAGGAGGTATTCTGAGAGTGGGTGACTATCGCGGAGTCAAAGGCCAGGCAACAGAACTCATTTCCCCCTCTTCTCAGGGGTGGGGTCCTCCACTCAACCTGCCCTGGGGAGCCTCAGGGGATCCAGGGACACTTGCTGGCTTTCCTCTCTTCTTGAGCTGTTCCTGGAAAGAGTGGAGAATGTGCCCCACTAGGGCCAGCCCCCAGGCCATGAGGCTTTGGGCAGTGAGAGCAGACTTCAAGGTCAGACAGGTCTGGTTCTGTCACCTGTGGTCAGAGGCTACCTGCCCTGAGTATCAGTTTCCTCATCTGTAAACTGGGAATTGTGAAGACTGGACATGTCTGTAATGCTGGCCCATAGTCAGCACTAATCAATGGTAGCTATTATGACTCTGAGTTTGTGGCTCAGGTGAAGGCTGAGCAAGAGGCATTAGACACAGAAGTCACTGATTGAAATGGTCTGCAATGTGTGGCCAGGGAATCAGTGTAATTTTAAAAGCCCCCCTGATGATCCCAGTGCACGGCCAGCTGTGGGAATATCTCTATTCTAAGCTAGTAGCCAATTCTTTTCATCCTTAGAGCAGTGGTTCTCAATGTTGGCTGCACGTTGAAGTCTTGTGGGGAAATTACAACTACTGGTGCCTGGGTCCCATCTCCAGAGATTCTGATCTCCTGGGCCTGGGCTGCTGCCTGGGAATCCGGATGCAGCATGTCCTTGAGTAATGTCGTTTCATTACAACAAACGATGAGATGCTACTGAAATGTAACTCTTGTTTATATCAATCGGCCTATGGCAAAATTGGCTGCTTTATATGTTGTTTAGCTCAAAGTTGCAGAACCTGTCGATGACGTTAAGTGAGGATTTACTGTACTTAAAAGCTGCCCGGTGACTGATGTGCAGCCAGGGCTGAGAAGCACTGACTTACAAACAGCTCTCTGATTATCTCCACTTTCCAGAAGACACTATGCAGCTGTTACTCATATTATTCCTTGTCCTTTTCCTTACCCTCTCCCCGAGTTCTCTGATCTGACAAGGGAGGGAGGGAGAAAGAGAAGCAGGCGGGGACTGTTGTCTTTCCCACCAACACAGTTTTTGCTGGAGGGGTCCGCCATCTAACCGCCCCAATACTTACTGGCAAATCAAGGCCGAGAATTACCCTGGGCTTTGGGGGATAACAGGAGTGGACGTTTGCATGCAGGCATGCCCTGCTCACTGTCCCCAGAGAAGACACATGAAGGCCAGACCTGAGGGTGCTCTATCATGTCCATCAGCACCTGCAGACTCACGGGCAGGTGAAAACAGTGACAGGGATGGGCCCTTGCCTGCCCATCGGAAAGGCTCCAAAGCCAGAAGTTCAGCCCCCTCCCCCCAGGCCCCCCCACCCACCAGTGCAAAGGTCATCCAGTGAGGTTATGGGGCAAAGGTGAGAGTGAGGACCCCTCTAAAGTTAGGACAGTCACCCAGGGCATCATCCAGAGAAGGAACAGATGGGAGCCATTCAATCGTTAGTGGATATTATTGCCAACACTGATTCAAAAATTAAGAGAATGCTGAAACATTGATACACACATGCAAAACAGGCCTATCCCCAGCCCCCCATAGCAACAGTCATTACCTAACCTACGGTCTGATGCATCAAAGGGCAGGTTGTCAGGAGGCCCGATTCCTGGTCCTGACCTGCCATCAAAGCTTCGTGGGCGAGGGGAGACCAAGATGGCGGCATAGGTAAACACCGGAGATTGCTGCCGCAAACAACCACTTCAAAAATACAACTAAAAGACGAAACGGACATCACCCAGAACCACAGGAAGGCTGGCTGAGGAGAGACTCTTCAACTAGAAGGAAAGACAACAGCATACCAAGGCTCAGAGGAGGCGCAGTGTGGAAAATACAAAGGTGCAGAGGTGCGCAC